CTATTAGTTTTGCAGCTTAAGCAGCAGAGGTTTGCTCTTGGAGCCTTAATTTCCTAGCCTGCTTTTCACTTTAAGGTGAGTGGCTGTACAAGAACCATGGAAGATACAGCCAGGCTGTGAAGGGAATAGGGAGCAGTGGCTCAAGAAGGCAGCAACTTGAGCTTAGCTATAAAGATGGATCTCTAAAGCAAAAGGCTTTAGACCTAAGCAAGGCTGCAGCAGGGGGCTGTTGTGAACCTCATGCCATGTAAAAAAATAGAACTGAACAACAACAGAAGAGCTGAAGTAACTCTGAGGTAGTCTGGAGGAACATGCCAATTCACACATTGCATTAAAATAAAGGTGAATGTGTGAAAGCTAAGCGTGCAAACTCCCATGCTGATCCAGAGGTCAGGCTGTTCCCTCCTCTAGCAGTGCATTTGCCTGGGTAGTTTGTAGTGCTCACGTCTCGGTGACCACAGTCTGCACAGCTGCTGCTGTTACACGTGCCTCTCCTTCCCTGTTCCAGGCCATCCCTTGACGAAGGCCTTTATTACTCATGGTGGGACCAATGGGATCTATGAAGCTATCTACCATGGGATCCCAATGGTTGGGATTCCCATGTTTGCTGACCAGCACGACAATATTGTTCACATGAGCGCAAAGGGAGCTGCAGTTGCGCTGGATTTCAGCACACTGAAGACACAGGACCTAGTGGATGCACTGAACACCGTCATTAACAATTCCACGTGAGTTTTGTTCTTGCCTTACCGTTGGACGAGGTTATGGAAAGTCTTGGGCTGCTGATGTGAGAAATTCTGCTGGCTCTTCCTGGAACCAAAAATACTGAGCAGCTGGAGTTTGGGTTTCAGATGAAGACCATCCTTCATTTCTTAAAATCAGCATTTCTCAGAAAGGAGAGATCAGTAATCTGATTTTCCTTATACTACATTGTATGATCCCTTTGAGAAAAACAGCTCTTTAGAAAGCCCAGAGCAGCTCCTGAGAGTTTTCTGCTCGCTCTCTCTCTTCCTTGTTCTCTGCTAGTATAAATCCTCTGGAGGCTCTGGGTGACAATTCTAGTTGTATTATGTCTACTCTGTCTGTAGCCACAAGAATTCTTTCTCCTACCCTTGAGTTACCAATATCCTTAAGTTACTGTACCTGTCAGTCAGGAATTAAGAGTATAAGGAAGCCTGGCAGCTGGGATCCCTTGCTAAGGATAAGGCCATTGACAAAGGGATTGGAAAAAAGGCAGGAGTCTTCAGTCTGTGGTAGTGACTTCTGTCAAATGTGAAGGCCAGGTATCCCTTCAAGTAACAACCTGCAAATTCCTGAAGCAAGTGGACCAATGCTGATGGAGGTATCCAGTATCTGAGGGAACCAGCTGTGGTGGAGGTGATCTATAATAATCTGGATGACGAGCAGGCACCCAAAGACCCAGATGAAATCCGGTGCACGTGGGCCCCCTCCCAACCTCCCCCTAAGTTTTATTGCTGAGCATGATGTCATATGGAATGGGATCTCCCTTTGGGGACCAGCTGTCCCAGCTGTGTCCCTTCCCAACCTCTTCTGCACCCCCAGCCTGCTCACTGGTGGGGTGGTGTGAGAAGCAGAAAAGGCCCTGACTCTGTGTAAGCTCTGCTCAGCAGCAACTAAAACATCTCTGCATTATCAACGCTGTTCCCAGCACAAACCCAAAGCACAGCCCCATACCAGCTACTGTGAAGAAAATTAACTCTTATCCCAGCCAAAACCAGCACACTGTATTATACCAGCACAGAAAATGCTGAAAATGTTCCCATGTTGCTTTCTTTAAATTAATAGCTGGAATAATTTTGAGTAACTTTTCTTTGCAAAAGATTGGCTTTCTCTATTACTGTTCATAACCCAGTTTTATGCAGATAGGAGTAAACTGGGCCAGTTGCAAATACATTTAAATAATGTTGATGAAAGCAAAAGCAGGACTGTCTGCCTTCCTCAAGAGAAATGCCAGGTACTGAATGGGTTGTTTCAGGAATCAGTGACAAACCTCCTTGGTTTCTTCTTTTTTCTCCAGCTATAAGGAAAATGCTCTGAAGTTATCCAAGATACACCACGACCAGCCAGTTAAGCCTCTGGATAGAGCTGTCTTCTGGATTGAATTTGTCATGCGTCACAAAGGAGCAAAACACTTGAGACCAGCTGCTCACCATCTCACCTGGTACCAGTACCACTGCCTGGATGTTCTGGCATTCTTGTTCACCTGCACAGCCATTGTTGTCTTCATTCTTGTCAAGTGCTGCTTATTTTGCTGTAGAAGATGTGGCAGGATTGCAAAGAGGAAAAAAGAATAGACATCCTGTTCCCATCAGCGCTTTTTCTTCTCCTAGGCTGATCCAGAAAGGCATTTATGCACATCCCTTGGTGAACAAAATTATTAGGATATGCTTTAAGCTGGGTGTATCACAAAGCACCCTATTGAACTGGGTCATGCTAAAAAGGTTCTGTGGGGCAGAGCTGCCTGCGTAGCCAGCAAATTCCTTCTGGCCTAAGTAAGACTGAATTATAGTTGCTTTATCCCTTGGGACCCTGTTGGCTGATCACACATGGTCCCTAGAATGGTAATTGCTGCTCTTACTTTTCAAATTCATCCTGGTATGTTTCATAAATTCAGCCTTCCCATGTGTGGTACTGTGGGTACCTCAATCTGCTACTAGCCTCCTTACCTTACCTCTGTCCTCTCCTATGATGTCACTCAGGCTTGATGATTCACAACCAAAAGCTATCTCCAGACTGGATGGTGAAGCTACCATCACAAGCTCCTAAAAAGTGCCCATCTGAATGGCCAAGATAATGAAAAACTGGGAACTGCAAGTGGCTGGTGAAGCCCGTATCATCACATTTTTACAAATGCACTGACTACTTGAGGGCTGAAGGAAGACCAGAGTCCTAAAACCAGCAGATAAATTACTTGCCCAAGAACCATTTCTTTTTTCCATTCAGTCTGGAGTCCTGCCACACCAGACCATTCTAACTGCAATACTATAGGCGTGTGAAAACCACCTCTGTCAGGAACTTGCCTCCCTTAACCCCTAAATGCCTCTGAGCCATGCTGCCTAACAAACACAGGAAAACCTCTAGAGACAGAAACAGCAAAGTAACATTACATGTGGGAACAGTGCAATAGCCACTTGCCTTGCCTGAAAAGCTGGAGGGAAGATAATGCTGCTCTTGGCTCAGATAAGAGTGGTAGTAAATGCACCTACCAATTAAAGCTTACTAAAATGATGCTAGTTCAGGCCTCCTGCTCTAGGAAAGGTTATTCCACTGCTATGCCAGCTCACTCAAGAGAGAACCTGCCCCAATTTTAAATGATATTTTCTGTACTCTGGATGTTGCAGATTTGTTTTCAAACAGAACAGGCTGAGAAAACGTTATATTTGTTTACATAATAGAATTCCCTATACTACATTAACTTTTGTATTAGCATCATGAATAGTTTCAATGTCTGCTTAAATCTCTTCATACTACAAGATCTATAAAAGCTCAAATGAGTTGTTTCCAAACTAAAGAGGGTTTAGAACAAGACTACTGCTTCTCATGGTAACTTCTGGTACACTGGTCCTATGGTCATGATGGGATCGTATGCAGGAACATGCACACTGAAATACACATAGTGAATAGAAAGTGCAACAGCATGACAATCAGGCCCCAGATCTGAAATGTTTGGCTCTAACTGTTCATAGAGCTGAGTCCCTAGGCACAGCTCCACCAAGCTTGACCACCAACAGCCCCCATCATCCAGCTTCTGGAAGCAGATTTGCCGAGAAGGCCAGCAAGCTTCCTAGCGTACTGCATAGGCAGTGATCAAGTAAGGCTAACAAAGGACATGGGAAACAGGAAAGCTGGGAAAAGCTGGACAGAGAAACTGCTTTGCAGTCACTTTAAGGAGGTGCTTCTTTTCTGTAATGTACTCAGAGAAATCTGGCTTATCTAGTATTGAATTTAAAAAGTAAAAAAGAAAACCAACCACAACCAAAACCTCCTCTTTCTGGAATCTGTATATGAAGCAGAGAAAGATATCAAAGAATGAAGGTGGTCTGTGATGCATTTCTCCAATTAGACCCAGTACGTGTACTGAAGTTGACAGACTGATCTAATCCTGCTGCTAACAGGCATACCTCAGTAAACTCTTCTGAGGAACCCAAACATATGTTCAGCTTATTGTAGTGTTTCAAAAATCCCGACATACTTGCATGTTGGAGGTCAAAGTTTTTGCTTAGCACATGTAGTTGTTTACTATAGCTGTGTAGACTAAAATATACAGAGCCCAACTATTGTCAGATCTAAAAAGTGTGCTTCTACAACTGCCACACCGTGGCCAATCCTATATTGCAGTGTATAAAAAGCTACAGCGCTCAGCACTGTGGAGCTGGAGGGCTTTACAGCATGTTCTACCCTCTGGCTTTGTTACATGAAAAGACACTTAGGAAAGGTTATGAAGTAGTCCACTGAGGCAGTGCTGCTCGTACAAGTGTTGAGAACTAGGAAACTGCTGGAGAAATTGAACAACTTCCACTACAAGTTTTACTTTTCTTTTTTCATTGTTTTACCATTGGCATTTAGATTCAAGTGTTTACTATTTAAGAGAAGTAACAAGCGATGCAGTAATCACTACAAAGACAACATGGGGAAAGTCTGGACCTTGCAGGACTAACAAACTCCTAGGAGACAGGTAGAATTATGGCCAAGGACAGCCTCTCAATAGCTTGAAGACGATTTGATTAAGTTGAACATGTAGGGCCTTAATAACTCTGATGAGCTGCAGGAGCTAGAAGTTGACTACTTCACTCTGGAAACAGAAAAGTAATTACCTTTATTTCAGCAGTCCTTTTCCTAAATTCAGGCTTTGTATCAATTTTATCTATCACAAGAACCTTTAAACTATTTTTCAACACAAATACTTCCCTAGAACTGCCAGAATCTATCAAAGCTGGCAAGCTTAGAAGACCAAGAAACCTGATCTGGAATTTTAATCATTTCAATAGTTACCAATTTATTCTTATATTTAAAAAAAAAAAAAAAAAAGGTAGCAATGTAGAATACAGCAATATTTCCTGGTTCCACACACGCAGGTTGTGAACATTCCAAGCAATGTGTACATTTTGGAAGGAGACTAGACAAGAGAATTGACCAAAATGTTACTGAACACGGGAAGATTTTTAAAAAAGGTTAAAAATTAGATATCAATAGTGTCTTAATATTGCTTTCATTCCTGATGACTGAAAAAACACTTGACTTTACAGATAGGGTTAAAAAATGGGGTAGGGAAGAGAAGAAAAAAAAAAAAAGGCTGCTACAACACTGCCATACAGTCAAAAAAAATCATACTTCAATATTTGCATACTTGATAGCAGCATTCTCCCACGGAACGATGTGAAACTACAGGAAGAAAACATCAAAGAAAAAAATGGCAGTTACCCATCAGTATTCAAAAACCTAGAATGAGTAGATGGACACTTACTGAGAGTTAATCAGTATCTACATTCTTAGCTGTTTCCCATTCTGCTCCCATAGAAAGGCGAAGTTGAGTGTCAGCTTTGCGTACTTTATTTTTGGCCGATTTGAGTTTTTCCAGTTCATAGTTCACTGCATGCGTGGAATAGAGAGGGTCATTATAAATCCTTCTACACAACGAACTTTGACAGATGAAAATAAAATGTACTACTTGTAAACACACAAAAAAATACAAGCTTTTTTTGTTTCAAGTGAGCACTGGTTCCAGATAGATTATCTTCGGTATCTACCTCTTTCACCTCTGTCTCTGTCCCGGTCACAAATCCTCTCCCTCTCCCTTTCCCGATCACGGCCTCTGTCGCGTTCTCTGTCTCTTCTATTATCTCTGGGACGGTCCCGTTCCCGCTCGCGGTCCCTCTCCCGAGGCCTGCTTCTCCGACCGCTGACAACTGCTTGCGTGCGGCGAAGAAAGTCGTCTACTCTCATGTCGTAGTCGTGCTGTGGTGAAAGGACAGCTCTCTTTATTTTCTTTCCCAGATTAAAATCCCCTCCCTTCCCTTAGCCCTAGCTCTTGGGATTGGCCATAACTCTCGAGAAAGCCCAGTATTTAAAAAAAAATAAAAAAATTATGTCCAGCATCCATAAGCATAAGTTTCTTCTTCTTCTTCAGGGCAGCACCATGTCTGTGCTTCCACTGCACAGAAGCTGGGCTTCAAATACCAAGTATCAGCAAGAGACCTGAAAGCTAAGCAGCCTTCAAAGCCATCTAACAGAAATTATTTAACAGTCTGCCCTGGCTTTTGATGTGCCTGTGAAAAGTTACAAACCAAACTTTTCTGCTGATGAAGGAATTTATGCATGAGCACAAGCAATGTCACAGGTATGTCCTTATTCAAACTGGGCTTCAGCATGAAAAGTTCCAGAGCCAGACAGTTGGAAGCCGTTTTAAGCACACACCTCAGTTTAGAAGCATGTTCTGAGAATTCTGCACTTCTACATCACCTGGGAGAGAGAGGCTTTTCAAAGATGCTGGAAGTCTCTATTCAATCTAAATAACTGGTCTTTCCAAGGAGAACCAATATAGGTCTTAAAAATGCAGTTTATCCAAGTCAACATATCTCAGGTTAGGCTACATCTGTACCCCAAATTCCTACTCTGGCCTGCAGACTCGCATCCTGCTCCGTCTCTGTGGACACTTACTACTCGTTTGTCCCTGTATCGTGCTTCATGTGGTACAGGATGATGTCCTGAGTATGGAGGGTGAGCTTGAGGTGGAGGTGCATGGTGCTGATAATAAGGGTGGTGTGGTGGCTGCTCCATACCTGGATATGGTGGCTACAAGAAAGTTACAGGAAGTTTGTTGAGTGTTTCAAAATCAAGGAACACACATAAGGCTGAGTGCAGGGAGTTAAGAGCAGAGGTTACTTTCATTCAGATGGAAAACACAACATATATGTGATCACAGCTTCCTAACTGAATGGCAGACTATTCTGCATTAAGTCAGCATGCTTTACTACTTCCCCACCATTGTTGTTTTAGAATGGCCAACACCCTCCTCAAACCCAAACATGCCTTCTTTCCATATCTGCCTCAAAGTGATACTGTACAGAAAACTTCTGCTATTTAAATGTGTGTTGGTTTTGGTTTTGTTTTTAAATGTATGTATAGGGAATGTGAATTTTATCCAAACCAGCAAGCTTTTACAGAAACAAGTCTTTTGGTGCCCTAATATATCGCTACTTTAATGAACAAACAGACTATTTGACAAAAGGCTAGTGGATTTTTTTTTTTTTTTAAAAACAAGACATCTCTTGGCTTTTCTCTTCTATTTCTTCAATCAGCAAGGCCTCCCTTTCCCATATTACTGAAGCTTCCTTGCTTGCGTTGTTGTAACAAAGGAAGTAGGTGGAAGTGCTGGATTTTAGGATGACTACTCGGAGAGCATGCAGAACAGGGAAGAGTGGAGGTAAAAATGGGGAGTTTCTGGAGGCTTAGCTGTGTTTGAAAAACCATTTTCCCCCCTGTCTGACAACCTTGTTCACTTCAGTTACAAGAAGTCTGAGTTGTGTTTCAGCTGAGAAAAATGTGAGACTATAGTACCATCTCTGTATCTGGTGTTGCCTTTTGCTCATTCACAGTATACACAAGAGCCAAAAGACCATTAGTTATCCAAAATCAGGACCCTCAGGGCCAGAATTACTAAATGTAACCAAAAATAACTAGTTATGACTATTCTTCCTGACATGATGGTAAAACCACAGCTGTACAAGTGAACTATCAGTTAATTTCCATGTACTTAGCTGTAGATACCTGCACTCATACATATGCTCATCTGACTGGGAAAAAAAGTGCACTTCAGTGGAGGCTGCGATACAGCAAGAATTATTTTGACTACAGGGTGCAGCACATTCTGCTACTTTCCCACATGCTTCACTGCCACAGCCAAAAGCAAACCACTGTGCAACACCAGAGCATGCCAGCCCATTCCATGAGCCTCTGCAGTAAGTCCACCTCTGGGATGTGTTTGCTGTTTGAGAGAAAGCCAGTAAGTACGACTATTTAGTGGAATACAAAATTTCACCACACCCTCTTGTGTAGCCTAAAGAAAGGTTCTGCTGTTTCCTCAAAGCTTTCAGTTTCTTGTAGGTTCAAACCAAGTCAGATCCCTGCTGCCATTCTGCTTTCTAGAATGCAAGACTATTGCTGAGAGCTAAGTAAATTATGAAGTTATACAATTAATTCTTTTATCTAAAAATTTTACAGAGTTACAGCAAAGATGCATTTTTAGGAAAAGGGAAGAGTTGAGCGCACACTGAATAAGTCAGGCTCTTCTAAAGGGGAACAGAAAAAGCCATGTTCTACAGAGAAAAACTGAATTCAACAAGACACAAACCATTCCTTGCCATGGTGGTGGTGGTCCCATGTTGTGGAATTCCCTCACGTAATCATTGTAGGACTAAAATGAAAGACAGTAATGTTAACATTTGTGACGGGTGTTCTTCGGAAATGTAGAAAGATGAATGTAAAAAGCTGCCCAAAAGTCTGCATGCACCAACTTACCCCATTTAAAAATACATCTCGTCGAACTCCTGAAAATCGTCTGTTGGGAATAAAAATTTGTAGAACTAAATCCAGTTTATCCATACAGACAAGTTACTAGGGCATAAAATGAATAACATGAACACACCTTACCTGTCTACTTCGGGATATCTGGGGTCCTTTATATACCCTGTTCGAACATCAAGCAGTATTAATTCAATTTACCATCTCAAGTTAACAGTCTTAAACAATACACTCATTAGAAACTGTCCTTTCACTTTGTGCCAGCTATAAAGATGCATCTACCTGCCATTACCCTCACTTTCAAAATAACTCTGAAAAACTTAGGACTTCTTGTATACAGTACAGAAAAATAGTATAATGTAGTAACAAAAAATGAATACAGATATACCCATAGGAACTTGCACACAGTACAAACAAATATGCAAGTAGGTATCTGTGCAATTTTAGTCAAACAAATTGGGAATGTCCACAAATTTGAAGGGTACTGTCCCTTGGCTGTTACCACTTATTAACTGTTCAACTGGGAAACTTTTAAGGCAGATTTCCTAATAGGTTTGGGATACAATATTCCATAGAAAATTAAAAACAACCAAAAAACCATCTGGAAAAGCCCCACAGGGCAAAGAATTCTTACAGCTTCAGTAAACCACAGGAAGTCAACTATGAAGAGCTCAGTAAAATGGTGTTATGCTAATAAAATAATGCTTCTGGGCTTCATTATTTCAAAAATTTTGTTCTGTACACTAAACAATGGTCTTGGAAAGCCAGGGAGCAGCAACAACACTCTTTTTGCAAAGAACACAGGCTCTGCAGTCAAGCTGGACAGATAAAGGCAGGCTCTTAAAAAAGATTTGGCAGATTAGAAGTGCAGTATTACCAGTGTTGTTGCTGCATTTCCATTGCAAACATTTCTTTCTGGAGAACAACAAAATTGTTTTCTCAAACTCATCATCAGACCCTCTTGTAAAATGCAGTGAAACTTCTCCCTCCTTTCCTCGTATCAAGCTTGTAAAAAAAACTGTCTCTGAAAATGTAACTGAATGTCTACTGTCACCTCTAAACACAGGCTGCTAGTCAGGCAATCTCAGGTAACCTTCCCAGTTGGAAATTTCTGATAGGCATTTTCATTTGACGATTAGAGCACTGACAAGAAGGTCAAACCAATTCTTGTGCCCGTATTAACAAAGCACTTGAGAGGATCATTCACAACATTGTACACAATTCTGAGGCTCTTAGAAGGGCTCAGCCTAGATTAACTCAGCTCTCTCTCTCTCAATCCAGTGAAACAGTGTCACTGACCTCTGCAAGAGGTGGGTTAAACCAGCAGGCAGCACTTCAGACAAGTCCCATTTTTATATCCCAACCATAAAAATATTTAGCTCTTTAATTAATTATGACACACTAAAAGAGAAAACACTTGTGAATTGGTGCACGCAAATCTTCATAGTAAGATATTAACCTGGTCTTTGGTGAAACTCAGGGGGATAGTCAATCCTTGGTTTCTTTCTGCTGTTATGAATATCATAATCTTCTGGTCGACGCCTACACAAATTAGATATCAGAGATTAAACAAGGTTGCTTGGAGCATTCGTCACAGCAGAATACCTCACAGGAATAGCTTGAGCTGCCCAGGATCTTAATTTAATCAATCTGAATTACATCTGCTTCAGAATGTTCTACAGCTTTAAATCTGAACTCAAATAATCAGGAACAGTCTGATTAAATACTCTACACTGTTACTTTCTGGCTACAGGAGCTTTGAGCTTTGATTAAGGAACTCTACCCAACTGTATCTTCATACCAAACAAAGGGTAGCAAATTTGTCTAAAACAAACTCAAACTTTAACATTACACTTTTCACATTACAGTTTGAAACAACCTATTGGATAACAAAAGAATTTACAGAACTAAATGCAGTGAAAGCAAATGGCAAAATATATCATTATAGTCAGAAGGCATGGACATTGCTGTTATTTGATAGCTAGGGGGTTAAGAATTCTGTAAAAGATCTATTTCTGTAACATTCATAAATAAAACTGTGCATGCTTTGTGAAATCGCTTCTTTCACTGTAGCTTTTCTAACTGGGTAGGCCAATGATATTATTTCTAACAATTTCTGTTCTAAGCAATTTACCAGCAATGCACTGGTGCCTTTTACAGACAATTTAAGAATACTTAAGCTTCCAAATAATTAAAATAATCGGGGCTCCTTTCTATACAAACAGCTCTTTTATGGCAGAGATGTTCTCTCTCTCTCAGGGAGGAATTCTTATTATAAAAGTTACATTCTAGTTGCTGTTGTTTAATGAAGAACTGAAAACTGGCTGCTCATTTTGCTCCACCAAGGTACATAAACATTAAGGGGAGACTCCAATGCCAATATAACAGTGTTTCTAGACACAAAGCAGCTACAAATCCATTCCCTTCCCCCCCACCCCAGCAATATAATTCCTTATGACAATCAAGTAACACTTTCTTAAATTGCTTAATTACTGTGCAACTTGCTTCCTGAGTAACAAGCTCATGTAGCTTTTAGTTTTATAAAGAGTAATTTCTCCTCCCCCTTCCCAACTTCAGTCTTTAAAGCCCACCATACCCAGTTACTAAACTTTTTAAAACGAAAGCAGATTCTTTACTATGAGCAAAAAGCCCAAAAACCAAAGCAGTTGCATCTACAGCAAAATCAGACCAAGGAAAATAAAAGCTGGTGTAAAGAATAAACATACCGCTTTCTTGGAGTTTTGAGAGTGCATTTACGACCGGTATAAAATATGATAGAAACAGTTCATATAGTAGTCCAACTACTGACTTTAAGCTGTAAGCCACATACATAAATGGAGGCCCTGGCAGGCTTGAGAAGGTGTGGTGGTGTTATATGTATAGTTTGCAGTCCATTGCAAAACCTTCACTTGTATATACTTTATTGCACTGGAAACCTCTTAGCTTAACTTCAAAAGCCATCTCGGTGTTCAGTCCTTTAAAGCCAAAAATAGGGGGGCGCTGCCAGGTTTCCTCCTACCTACTCGTTACAGTGTCCTTTTTTTAAGCTCAAGGAAATGGGGACTCTTGTTAGGTATCTGTACCTACCACAGGACGTTTCCACAAAGAGGAAACTTAACCAAAGGTTTCAGCCCAAACCATACATCAGTCTGTATGCAAAGTGGCTACACGGGGAAAAGGTGTTTGGCAGAAGGGCTAATATCAGTTCTTTGCAAAGACTTCTCCAACTCTGTAACAAGTTATACCCCCTTTTTTTTCTGGAAAATGATGTTAAGTTCATATAGCAGTGATCAATAACCATGTCGATCCTCTAAAAATACTTTTAAGTCCACGGGTACTGCCAGCATCTGGAAAGGTTGTATATACAGACACAGCAACAGCCATTCTTTTTGGTTTGTTGCCGGGTCTCCAAGGGCCACTCGATCCCTTTTGGAAAGAACCTACTGTTTTCAGAAGCTCAGCAAGATGTGTGAATTCAGTGGTTACGTGTTAGAGAATATTTGGCAATGGGGTTAACACATCACGGTGAAACAATTTGAAACAGTCCCAATAATGCTCCTCTTGAATATCAAAATAACTTAAATATTTTATCCTCAAAATGAGGCGGCATCTTCTGCAAAATTCTAAGTGATCCTTATAAAAGTCCCATATTTGATAAGGCTTATCCAGAGACACACCTGAAAGAAAAGGCTTTTACAAGATATTAACACATTTTTGGCATATAAATATTTCCTTCTCTCCATCTAGCCTGCTCATAATCAAGCCAAGCTTACCTACAGCTAGCATTACACATTGCATTATCTCAATAAATGATCTAGTCTAAACTAGTCAGCACTTTAAGAGCTTTTTTCTGCAAAAGCAAAGATCCCCATTTTCCTCTTGAAAAATGACAGACCGGGCAACCATGTGAAATCCTCAATGAAGCCACAAACTTGTCCATGCAGCTTGATTTGAGGATTTTCTCTCTTCTTTATCGCAGGGAAAGCTTTGACGAATCACATTCCTCCATCACGTTATTCTGACACATGTGCCTATTATCAGTCCAAAGAACGTTTCTAACCTTCCCACGTCCCGCACGGGGTCTCGACGGGATGGGCGTCCTCTTGATCGGGGTTGTGAGTGCATTCTTCTCTTGTGCCTCATTTTATGAATGACTTGATACAAGTCAATACTTTCATCAGGAGGGAAGAGAAGACAAAGTTGGGTTCCACATTCCGGCTCAATTTCCTAGAATTAGTTAGAAGTTCAGTAGTGGTTTATAAACTGAAGAAATGAAACTCTCCACAAACACACACAAAAAAAAGAGACACTTGGAAGAGATTTCAGTATCACCAGAGACAGAGCAAAATTCACTTACATTACCTTTCACTCTTTAGGCACTACTTATAATTTTCATTAAATAGTCCAACACTTGGAGCAATCATATCTTCCCATGAGGCATACAGGCCACATCACTGTTTTGCTACAAAATCAGAGGACTGCTTTTCATCACAAAGAAAATGATCACCTATTACAGAGAGAAGAGCGACACACGTAGGAAAAAAAATCCACCCCAGCTTCACATAGAAAGCCATGGCCTGAGAAAGGTTACTATTACCACTCAAAAGCAAGTTCTTCAGGGTATGAGAGACATGTCCATGAAAACACCAGCTCAGTGCTTGACAGCAGTCAAAACAAGGAAATCATGTGTTCAGGGTTATTAGGAAAGAAACACAGATTGAGAAAGTTGTTATACCACACTGAAAGTCCATGTTCCACCCACACCTTAAATACTGGGTGCAGCTCCGACCCCTGCATCTCAAAAAACAGGGGGACAGTAGAAATGGAAAAGCTTCAAAGCAGGGCACCAAGGATAACTGAATGAGTGCAACATTTCCCACATGCACTGACTGAGCAGGTCGGGTCCCTCCAGCCTAGAATAAAAGGATTATGTTGGATATGGGGGACAGGACAGATACAACAGGACCGTCCAACAACATTAAGTAGTTTGGAGAAGAGAGGGACAGAGATCAACTTGTTGACTCCCTCTTCTGGTACAAGAACTTGGGGCCATCAAAAGAAGCTAGCAGAAGCCAGGTGCAAAACAATCCCAAAAAGTGCTTCTTCAACCTGGTGACTAGCAGCCCTGCGGAATGCCTCCCCAAAGAGTGTTGTAAATGCAGCAAGTCCAGTGTACATGCCCTCAGAAAAAAGATCCATTTAGGGCTACACAAATGTAAATGGATAAATGACAACCACTTCAGAAAATAACCTGAGTTGAAAAGCAGGGAGAGCAAGCATCAGGCAATGCTTGCCCAGTACATAACAGCGCAGAAATTTTATGAAAAAAGATGAAACCCACATTTGGAATGCAGCTCTACAGTGAAGTGGACAAAACATTAAAAAACTAAATTCCTTGACCACTTAACAGAAACAAAGTTAAATAAATGTGGGGTTTGTTTTTTTTGTTGTTTTTTTAGTTTGTTTTTTTTAAGTTCACAGTAAATTAAAAACAATACCAAAAATACTGTTTTACTTCTGTTACCCAACACAGTGAACACTTCTATGGGCAAAATAACGCACAGAGCCTACATCACTTTCCATACATTACGGGGATTATGCAACTCCCATCTTGCCTTAAGAAAGAAGAACTTGTTATTTTAGTCAAGGCTGGGTTACTTGGTGAAAGCAGCAACATACTTGCAACTCTGGTATGTCTGACAAGACAAAAAGCCACTCCACTTTAAAATTTACTTAATATATACTTTATAATGGCACAGCCTATGCCTTAAGCAATACAGTATATTAAAAAAAAATGCAATGCAGAACACAGCTGGAAACATCAGAACTTGTTCTTAAAAACTGAGGCTATATATGTTTGCACATGATACAACGCAAGGCACACTACATTTCAAATCCAAAATATCACATAGTTTTGAAGCAGCAAACACTGTTTATCACAAAGATGGCAACAGAACTGGCACTGTATTGTTTTGTTTCTATCTTCTGCAACAACATTAGAAATCAGCTGAGTGCTTTTGTCACAGTACATTACTGCAAGAAACAACTTATCTAAGATTCCAAATCTTCTGCATGTACAAAGCTGAAAGCAAGCACTAGAAAGTGTGGGTTATAGAAAAAAAAATACTTAACAAACCTGTCCATCGCGTCCAATCTTTACTGGCTTATGTTCGTTCCAAGGATTGGTCAGGTGAGCAGACTTAGTGAAGGGCAATTCACGCCTAAACATGCAAGTGGTATCATTTATAGTTCTGCCTCTGTTTTTCATTTTAAAAATTAAAAAATGCATACAGCAGGACATGACACACAAAATGATCCTGTTACCCTTTGTGCTGTCAGGTCTCTGAATGAATGTATTAATATGTATTAGCAACTGAACATTTGAAATCTTTTCTGTAAGACACACTCAGTTAAATGAATGAACATACTGCTCACAACCTATACGTCATGCAAAATATCTCTACTATTTCATATGTTATTTTAGAGAAGTAGCATTTTCTTTGTTCAGTCAGATGCCAAGATGTCAGATGAAGACAGATCTGTCCTTAGAAGATTTTCTTCCCTTTTATCCACAGCTGTCTATTCAAGTGAGCAGTTATTTTTACTCAAAGACTTCAGAATACAGTTTTCACGTGTCAGTGCAAGAGATCAAGGAAGGAACACGAGTGTTTAAAATATCTAAATTAATGAACTGCCTACATAAAAAAAATATATATATATTTTCTATAGTGCATGTCAAGTATAGGCCTGAGTCCCAAGCTCAGTAACATGGAGGCATGGATTTGGGAAGACTAGAGGACAGACCTCTGGGTGAATCAAGTTTCCAAAGGATGCTGTCATTACTCGAGCGAGTAATACACAGAAATGGTACTTTAATGCCTTATTACTGAACAGCAACATAAATGAACAATTATTTACCTGCAAATCCAGTCAATTTTAAAGACACCTCCCAACATTTTTGCATTCATTCCTGCAGGCAGCACCCAGTGTATAGGTGATCCTCCATGATGGGACTCTGAAGACAGTCTTGCAAATCCTAAAGGATTTCACATGAATTGTAACAAAGACACAAGAAAAAGCTATTGCACATAAAACTCACTTTCACTTACCTTGGTAAGAGCTCACTTTGCCTTACCTTGGAATTTGCCACTCTCTCTTACAGAAAATATCAAAATAACACTCCTTGCTGATCTAAATGCAGCATTAAGCTTCTTTTCATTCACTGGAAGTGTCGACCATACTCCCTAAAACAAAACAATCCCCACCCCATCACCAAAATATAAGAGTTCATCTCAAGTGATTTAGCTAACAGGAGTATACAGTGCAGATGAGGAAAACAAGACCAAACTAGTGTTCTGGGATAGAAGATAATGGAAAGAGAAAGGTATTGCCAAATTCAGTTCCTTCAGAAAATATTTTCAGTCTGCTCCATGACAAAACTCTTAAAACACTGGCTTTTCAATCTTTTTTTGAACACTGCAAGTGCATTTAGACCATCTATAAGGTTTCATTTGTAATGATAATGATGTACAGATATATGAAAACCTTGGCCTTTAGTATTTTCAATGTATGTTTTAAGTGACTTTGGGATTTCATGTATTCTCATAATTTCATAATACACACAAATTATGAAAAAACCAGCAGCATCTATACTGAAAGTTGGGCAGGTAGTCTTCATTAACCTTCTTAGTATGACAGATTAGTTGAGGACAGCTTGCAGACTTTAAAAATATTTCAGTGAAAGGTCAGAAACATGAAAGACACAAGACCAGTATTTTAAAACAGCAAGATGACTCCAAATTGTTTGTTCAGTCTCCCACATCCCCACCTACCTTTTCCCTTTCACCAGCCACTGTTTAGCCATGCACAACAAAACCCAATCTGTTTTAAGGTACCAACTGAACTGAGCTATAGAATACCAGTTTGCTCTATTACTTTTCAGCAAGATCAGCTCCCCAGCCCATTCTCTAAGCAAACTCAAGAGGAGAAGCTTATGTTGGTTTAATATGTTCAAACTTCAGCCTCCAAATCTGACCTAGGATGTACCAAATAAAATGTTCCTCCCCTTCCTTTTTTATTGAAGATATGTTCTCATGTCCTGCTCTATGCTCAGATTAGTGCTTGCCTGACTCTGACAATTTATTAGAGTCACCAGAGAACTATTTGGCTTTTTCAGTACCTTTCAGTCAGATATATATATTGCTTTAGGCTGCTTGTGAAGCCTGCTGTGAACTAGAACCACTTATCGCATTGGCAACACAACTGCCAGTTTCACGGAAGCGCAGTGGCAAAGCACTGATGCCCGTAGACTGAGAGACAAAGCACCCACTCCAAGAACTTTAGGAACCAGGCTACTGTTGCAGCCTCAAGCGTGGATGAGGTGCAGAAAGCTCTTCTCCTCTGAAGAGCTAAAGCAAACACCAGCCAGAACGGCGTTCGGTGCACAGACCAGACACAAAGCTGGGGGCAGGGAGTCAAACCGGTCCAGCAATTTTAAGATTAATTTCGTTGTTTTAATGCTATTCTATTTTAGAAAATCTTCACTGATAGAATCACCAACTTTGTGTATACTGTATAAGAGCAAATCAGTTATTTTCTCTACAAGCTGTTCCAAATAACACATGCAAACACAAAACCCCAGAGCGGCCTAGTGCCATTCCTCAGCAGCTGAAGGCCAGGGCACTGGAATCCCTCCCAAACAACTCCCTGACACCAGCACTGCCAGGTATACATTTCTGCAATAAGACTTCAGATCCCCAAATCAATTGAAAAAAAAATTCTAGCCTTAAATGAAAGCCAAAACAACCTTCTGAACCTCCTCACAGTACAGCAATATGAACACAGGTACTGATGAAGGGGAGAAAATACCACCACAGCATTCTCACTGGACACTGGCTTATGACATTACCAAACAGACCCTGAGGGCCCTTTTTAACCCTACTCCTATCAAGATAAATGACTGATGGTCCAGAAACTCTTCCAGGTTAAAGTGGAAGCAGAATAGCTACCAACAGAATAGGACCAAGGAGCATTAGCTTTTATCCTTGCCTCTACCAAGATCTGAGTGATGGAGAAAAGAATGCATCTATCTATATACAATTCTACAGTGAAGTGTGTGTGTTTGAAAACAGGCAAAGTGATGAGTTTGAAGAAAATTCAACATACCTTTGCTTTAGCAAGTGATACGTTTTCATGGTTATTACTCTTGATGAGAAAGAATCTTGCATCTTGGAGAATGTATTTAAGTTTACTTGTTTGGTCTGAAAAAAACAAAGTGTTAAATAAGTTGAACTGTAATATTTACAATTGTCAAAAATGTTGCTTTGAGTGTAGACAGTTGTTTGCTTCCTTCAAAATACACTGTATCCCACCCAGTTCCTACCTATGTATTATCACAGTCAACCACCCAGCTTGAAACTTAGTCTAAGCTGCATAGCACAAAATGCCAGGGGAAACCAAATCAAAACTACAACTTAGACATTCAGTTAAAGAAAAAAATAAAATAAAATCAGCATGATTCAGTGATGTTCCGATATACAGGACTTATTTCCTTGCTTAAGAATCTTTGGATAAATACTGGGTGACATTTGTACCAGCACAAGTTGTCCAACAGAGAAGGCTGTAATGTTCCTCTTTTCAGATGCAAGCACTTAATTTCTTGCTTTGCCGCCTCTGCAAGGAGCAAAGTGGCTGAACTTTTTGCATATCACTCTCAACACATGCAAAAGTGGTGCAAGATTCACTTGTTACGTTCAGAACAATTACGTGTTCCCAGTGATTTATATCGGAACATTACTACTTACAGGTAATACAGTGGACAGAGACAATGGCTTGCTATGGGGCATGCATTAAAAATTCAAATTTAAATGATACCTTTTTGGACAGCACGAACGGAAGATGATAATTTCTCATGCTTCTTTTCTGAACCTGTGTTTAGCCAAAGTACATTTGTTCAGATTGAGCCTTAATAGAGATAATATACAATTTCTACAGCTTTGTCACATACAATTTTCATTCATGACAAATTATGCTTTCTGGCGCGCACCCACACACACAAAAAATACTACTCAATGTGCACGAGTGTTTTGGTTTGGTTTTTTTTGGTTTGGTTTGGTTTTGGGTTGTTTGGTTTGGGTTTGGTTTTTTAAAATAGTATTTGAACAATTTCCTACTCAGAAAACTAGTCACTGAATCATCATCTTCCAAAGTTTTAAACAAAAAAAGTGAAAATTTCACTTAAGCAACAGAATAGCATTAAAGTAACAAGAAAGCCTACTTCCCCCCAAAGGTATCCACACACAACATGCCAGAAGTCAATACCAAATTATACAAAGCTACATACCCCATAAACCTCTACAGCCAGTTACATTTATTTTAGATTACATATTAAGATTTGATGCAAGTCAGGATGACAAACAATAAAAGGAAAGAATACCTGCATACGATTCTGATGCAGAACTGCCACTTCTGTCAAAAACAATCGGAGAGATACCTCTAGCTCTCTTCCTCTCCTTCTTTTTCTCATCTAAAAAAAACCCCATAACAAAGAAAAGCAATATTTTAAACATCAAGCAGCAGGCAAAATTGAGATTAAAAAAATACTGAGACAGGAAAATAAACATCTGTAATAGTGAAGTTAGCATTTGGCTTGTACGTGAAAATTGTGGTTGCTGCCCCAAACCTATCAGGCACAAGAGGAGCAAATAATAATTATTCAAGCTTTTAATTCACAAAAGCAAGACAAATGGACAAATATCACAAATCAAGTATTTCTGTGCCAAGTTTAGAGACAGAATTTATCTCCTAGGAATTTTAGTAAGGCTGGTTTAGCTCTTGTCTTCAGCCTTCAGCCAAATTTGCAACACACAGTGCAAACTCTGTGGCAATAGTGATATGGGCTCATTCGCTCAGAGCTCAACCAAACGGCAAAAGGTATGAAAACAAAACACTGCGGCACCCAGGCAATTATTTCCACTCTTTAGAAGTGTCACATTATACTATGGAGCTTTTTAGAACAGTTGTTACAGCTTCACTTGTCTTTAGGTTACACCTTTCTGTTCTCTAATTTCGAACAGCAGAGCTGAGCCCAAAAAGGCATTATGTTAAGCAGGATGACCATCTATGGAGACTTCAGATATGGAAGATACAAAAGAGGAATCTTAACAGGATTGCAAACTGCTTTCTTAAAAAACAACAAAAAACAACAAACAGCTAAAACTAAAAGTATTTACATTATTAGCACTTCACATCTGTAAGGTAGGACCAGTTATAAAATTTAACTGCAAAGAAATTGTTTACAGTTTCTCCTTGAAACACTTCTCTCTAAGTTTGCCCCAATAGCTAATAATTTCACCTTAGATTTGTATTTCCTGTGCTGAAGGCAGACACTATTTAAGAATCAGCTGTCCTTCCCTGGGGAGATGGTGCTTTCACTGCACCAGTCTACCTGGTCACTCATCTAGATAAATACAGAATAGCTCAACATCAACTTAAAATGAATCATATGGGAAACTAAACCATTAAATACCTAAGAAAATACTAATTTTAACATTTGGTCAAAGAAACCAAAACTCTGCCTGTGGCACCAGCCTCTAAGCCATGTCTGACCAAAAGAGGGGAGTAGTCTGAGGGCCGCACCAGGCCAGGGAGGTTCTTGTTGATATCCCTGACCCAGGCCCCAGGGAGGCTGAACACAACATAAGAAGGACATGGACCAGTTAGA